GTTTAAAAACAAAGTAATTTATTTTTGATTTAATAAAATAATTTTTTTAAGATAATAATTAAGTATTTTGTTAGAAATCAATTATTATCTTTGATTATATTTTAAATTTTTTATATTTAAAATGATATTTATCTGTAGTTAGTTACACGAATTCAAACATGAAGCTTTAATAACAATGTACTCATTCATATTCTTCTTGTAATCTTGAATTTTAAGTAATATGCATCAATAAACAGTATTTTATGCATAAAAGATTATTTTTAAGAGTTTTTATCAAATACTTCATAATATAATATAGATATAGATTATAAAAAATTATTAAAGATATTGATAAATGGTATAAAAGCAAAGGGCTTAAAAAAGGAGATGATTTACCAGTTGCCAAAACGGCCGTCAGCAAGGCCATTGATCCTATTCCCAATGACACAACCAGCATCCATCACTTGCTGTGCCACACCCTCATCGATACTCGACAACACACCCAACGCACTGCTCAGCAGCTGAATCGGTCCACGATGCTTCCCTTCACCTCTCACCGCACTCAAATCTTTCTCGAACACCATCACCTCGAACCCTCTTTTTTTGGCAGCCAGAGCCAGCACCAGCCCACCAACCCCACCGCCAGCGATCAGTATCCGAAGTACCCTTCTTTTCTGTTTTTCTTGTTCATCATTCTTGACTTCTGCATCACTGCTGCTTTTCGCTTTTAAGTCGCATCTTCTTCTTCTTCTGCTACGACTGCTGGCACATGTTATGGAGTGCTTATTGGCGATGAAGTTACTGTTCAAGGAAACTTTGTAAGAGAGATTTTTGAGCTGATGAAGATGGTAATAAGGACTACCCACGAGGCAGTGAGAAGACGACATTGAATGAATCATAGAGAGAATGAAAAAAAATGGGTGGATTTGAACTTAGATCACTGCACGTATATTATATGTAGAGTATAAAAATGGCTTTCTGATGTCTCCCACGCCAGAGGCGGATCCAATGGTTAGGGGGGACCCCAGTGAAAAAGTAAAAAAAAAAAAAATATATCTAATGTTAAAAATTGGGATTTTATATTATTACATTTACTTCCCCCACTAGGTTTTTGAAGGGCCCCACTTTCCCTGCCGATTCCCCTCTTCTCCGGCACTTTCTCCGGCACAGGCGCACCGCGTACAGCGACACCTATTATCCGGCGACCGGCAGTGGCACTCTTCTCCGGCACCGGCAACAAGTGCTTTTTAAGGTTTATTTTATTTATGCTTCTGTTGTTCCTGTTCTAGCTTTTTATAATAGTGAGTCTGTCAATCTGTAAAGAGTTTCTACAGTACATGAAGATTGAAGAGTTTAAAATGGAGGAAAGGAGTTGATGGTTCAAGACTTCAAGTACATGAAGAGTGGACCTCATTTTGACTTTGTAAACTTTTTGGAAAAAAAAAATAGTCACTCTTCTTTCTTTTTTTCTTCTTCTTCACGGCTTCACCTACTCTATCCAATTGTTGACTTTTTTTTCAAAACTTTTTTTTTTCAAATTTCCCCTCTTTCTTTCTTCTTCATTTTGCTTCTGCTATCTACATCTGATTATTGCTTTATGAATCATCTTACTGCTTCTATCTTACTCTTTAAGTTTTTGGTAAACTTAAAATGTTAACAGTAGATAAACATTAGGGCTTTTTAAGTTTTTAGTAAACTATTAAAAATTAATATCAATACTAGAGTGGACAAATACAAATATTTAATAGATGCTTATTTGCTAATATTTAATAGGTAGAGTGGACAAACAGTAGGTATATTATATATATATATATATATGTGTGTGTGTGTGTGTGTGTGTGTGTGTGTGTGTGTGATGTATTTGTCCCCTTGTTTTTGCTAGAAGATGGAAAGATTTCTGAAAAGAAAGGCATCAACGTCCGATAATAGTGGAAAACCTTTAAACAACTTGCGCAATGATCTTCCCTCGATGCCTAGGGAAGTTGATTTGAATAATCTTCCATCGAATCCAACTGAAAGGAAAAGAATTTTACAATACCACCCTAATCAAAGAGAGGAAATCAGACGACACTATTTGATTAAAGGACCGTGTCAACCACGTGGTCACGACTTTCCAAAAAGAATAATTGGGAACAAGGCAAGACGTTTTAACCCGGTTTGGTTTGATCAATACGGTAATTGGTTTGAGTATAGTTTAAAATTAGATAAAGTTTTTTGCTTATGTTGTTACTTATTTAGAGATCAATGTGGTGGACAAGGTGGGAGTGATGCTTTTTTAACCGAAGGCTTTAGTAGTTGGAATAAACACATCGAGACTGGAAAATTCTTTGACATGATAGCATCTTTGATGAATGTGGTTTGTGCTTCTTGTAAGCGAACATATATGGTTCAAGAAAGTCAAAAGGAGAAAGTACAAGAAGCCATTGGTAGCGATGAAACTGAAACGAGTAGTGGGTTAAATCAAGAGCTTTCTCTTGGAAGACCTAGAGATACACGATGGGGTTCACACTACAAAACACTTAAGCGTTTGGTTGATTTGTTTCCATCCGTTATTGAGGTGCTTGAGTATGTTGAAGATGTGTGCGAGAATCCTTACAACCAACGTCAAGCAAATGGTCTTCAAATATATTTCCAATCATTTGATAGTGTGTTTTATTTGCACTTAATGTTGCATATTTTGGGGGTCACAGAATCATTGTCACAGGCTCTTCAGAAAAAAGATCAAGACATCTTGAATGCTGTTTCATTGGTGAAGTCAACCAAGCGACAGTTGCAACAATTTAGAGTTGATGGATTTTGTCGGCTTCTTGAGAAGATCTATTCTTTTTGCGAAAAACACGAACATCGGAACAGTTAACATGGAGGAAGTTTATGTCAATCCAAAAAATCGAAGACACAAGACAAATATCACATATCGACATTATTACGAGTACGAATGTTTTAACACGGTTATGGATATGCAAATTMAAGAGTTTGGTGACAGATTTGATGAGGTAAGTTCCGAATTGCTCACTTGTATGGCCACATTGGATCCTCATTACTCATTTTGTGACTTTGACCCATCAAAATTACTAAGGTTGACAAAGTTTATCCTGATGATTTTAGCAATGACGAAAGAACTACTCTTGAGCACCAACTTCAACTATACATTGACAATGTCCAACATGATGAATTATTTGCTAATTTGAAAGGTATATTCGAGCTCGGTAGAGTGATGATTGTAACAAGGAAACATCTCGTGTTTCCTTTGGTTTATCGATTATTGAAGCTTGCATTGGTTTTGCCTGTTGCAACCGCAACAGTTGAGAGATGCTTTTATGTAATGAAGCTTGTGAAGCCAGCTTTGCGCAATCGAATTTGTGACGATATTTTGAATGCGTGTGTCATCTGTGCCGTAGAAAAAGAAGTACTTGCTAAGGTTACAAATCAAGATGTAATGACTCGGTTTCAAATGATGAAAACTCGTAGAAATCAACTTATGTAATCATGTATTATTAATTATAACGATTGATGTGTTGGTACATTGTTAGTTTAAGTGACCCCAGTGTATAAAATTCCTGGATCCGCCACTGCTCCCACCTATTTGTGAAATCGCCTAACAGGCTACCAATTATGGTAAATCTATATACTTGGATCTCCTATCTATTTATTTTGTCTCATTCATTTCAGACTACAATATGATCTTTATATAAAATGTGTAATGCAAGTTTAATAGGAATTAAACGTTATATTTGAAAGTGTATAGATTTATAGTATTCTTTTAGAGGTCTTGATAATTTTTTATAACGTTTTTAAAATAAAGTGTGCTACTAGTTATTTTATACGACACTGTTTGAAAAATTGTCCAAACACAAGTGTTCTATAAAAAGATGAGTTTATATGACATTTGTTAAATTGTTCTATAAAATTGTTAATACGACATTTTAAAAGTATTTTAATTTTTTTTGAAATGCCGAAAAACATCCGATAAGCCTATTGTAACGTTTTTGGATAGGACGCTCTATAGTTTAGTCCTATAAAGTTTTTTATTAAGACACTTAAACATTTTAGAACACTCAATTTTATTTGGGCAAAAAGTAGATTACCGACAACACCAACTAGCCCACACAAAACCCGCCTCTAAGAATATAAATGGTTCAGACTAGCAGTAAAATGACAGACCGAAAGGCTCGACTAGAAAGAATATGGGGAGAAGTTTTTTATTATAAATAGTAATCTTTTGATAAAGAAAAGAGAAGGGCCAGGTAGTTTGATAGGGTTCTTGTTCCATTAGTTGATACTTCACGGGGTTTTACCTAAAAGAAAAAAACGAAAATGGATTCATGAAAGTTTAATTATTGAATTACTTTCCAACGACATGTTCCAGATTCGTGTAGATAACGAAAACATAATTCTAGGTTATGTCTGGGATCGAACTCATGACATATCTTGTATTCAGGCAAAGTCTACCATTTTACCAACTGAGCTACATGTCAGAGACAAAGTCAATTTTATTATAGTGGACATTAATCTTTTACATTTTTGATTAATCGAATTGCTCTAATAAGTTTATATAGCAACGCTCGTTGATACACACACACACACACACACACATATATATATATATATATATACTATATTATAAAGCATTTGACAAAACCTCTTAAAAATACTTTTTAATGCGTCAACTACTGTTTATTAATGCATATTACTTAAAACTCAAGATTGCAAGTAGATTGTGCGTAAATACAACTTATTAAAGCTCCATATCTGAATTCGTGTAAGTAACTGCAGATAAACATTATCAAATACAGGATAAACATTATCAAACACATGATAAACATGTCATTTTAAATATAAAAAACCTAAAATATAATTAGGATAATTATTGAGTTCTAATAGAATACTTAATTATTATCTTTATAAAATGTTATATTATTAAACCAAAAATATTATTTCGTTATTAAACTTAAATTAAATTATAATAAAAAAATCTATACTATATTATAAAGCATTTGACAAAAACTTTTAAAAACCGTATATTGATGCACATTACTTAAAATTTTCGTGTAACTAACTGCAGATAAACATAATCAAATAAAGGATAAACATCTCTTAAATATAAAAAAATCCAAAACATAATTAAGATAACCATTGAGTTCTAACAGAGTACTTAATTGTTATCTTAAATAAATTATTTTATAAAACCAAAAATAAATTAGTTCATTTTTAAACTTCAGTTAAATTATAATAAAAATTAAATTAAAAAAATTACACAAAAACAAGAATTTTTAAATAGTTAATTTGATACTAATATTGCTTATTTTTTTTTCAAAATTTTATTGTATCTTCAAATTTATATTTCATTAAAAAAATAAAACATTTTTTTTTTCTCAAAACCACATAAAGTCGCATTATAACATCAAATATAAAACGAAACAATAAAAATTAAGATATATTTCATTGCATTGCGCGAGTACCCTTCTAAGTATTTTATAAAATGATTTATGGAAATGCTTAAAAAAATACACCCTGCCCTCACGCGCCTTCCAGAGAGTGGGATTGGTGAAAGAAAATGATCGTCAAGAAGTCGTTGAATAATCGAATTGGTCTTCTTTCCCTTATTTCTCTCTCTCCGGGTGTTCTACATCGACGGGCCGGCGGCACTGTCAAGAACCCTAGTATATTATAAAGCATTTGACAAAAACTCTTAAAAACCACTTTTAATGTGTAAACTACTTTTTATTAATGCGTATGACTTAAAACTAAATATTGCAAGTAGATTGTGCATAAGTACAACTTATTAAAGCTCCATATCTGAATTCGTATAACTAACTGTAAATAAACATTATCAAATACAGGATAAACATCTCATTTTAAATATAAAGAGATAAAATATAATTAGGATAATCATTGAGTTCTAACAGAATAMTTAATTATTATCTTTATAAAATGTTATATTATTAAACCAAAAATATTATTTCGTTATTAAACTTAAACTAAATTATAATAAAAAAATAAATTACAGAAATTACATAAAAAATGAGAACTTTTAAATAATCGATTTCATATTAACATTGATATATATATTTTTTTCAAATTTTTATTATATCTTCAAATTTATATTTATTCAAAAAATCATTATTGTTTTCTTAAAAATACATAAAATCGTATTATAACATCGACAGAGACAAATAATAAAATAGAACATTAACATCGAGATATGTCTCGCTGCATTGTGCGAGTACTCTTATAATATATACATATATATATATATATACACACATATATACACTGAGGCTACTAAACAAACATCTTATAGATCAAATAATACAAGAAATGCAAGTCAAACATCACATAAGTCGTCTGTTTTCAGGGTTAACAGTTCCGAATTGGTTATGTGTTGGTCCCGTAAGGGTCTACAAGAAGAGAAACAGTTTGTAGAAGGGGGGGATGAATACAAACACA